CAAAGACATAATTAAAGTTGACATATTATGCTCATTTACAGCCACAGAAGTTATTCTTGGACTGGATTAGCGTTCCATTAGTCACGTTGTCTTAATAATCCTAAATTTATCTTCTGCAGAAAATGAAGAATTTTAGGTGCAATATTAAAGAGAAAAAATAAGATATATGTAATCTATAATGTTTATAAATGTTTTATAGTCATAAAAATAACAGAAAAATTATGATAATTATTTATTGAGCACTTTTTAAAATTCACCCTGCAAAGTCTTTCACAAGGGCAACGAATCAAACACAGCATGAAAAAATCAGTTCTGAAAGAAGTATCATGAGTGTAGTGTAGACGTGCCGAGGACTCGTGAACAAATGAACGGCAAACACACCTCTTATTAGGCTGATCCAATGTCCAATAAATCCACCAAACCCAATAAATCTATAATAAAACATACTTGGAACTAGTGCAAGGAGGCTTAAGCAACCTAGTTCAGAAACAGTAGCTTTGATTTTTAGAATGTAAGAACAGTGTCTTTATCATTACAGCGATGCAGACAGACTGTCAGGGAAGAAGGAGGATCTGTCTTTTTCGACACCATAATGACGAGTGGACTGGAAAGCAGGAAGGCACGTAGCATAGCACCTCAGAGCTGAACCTGAGCTGCTGCATTTATCTATGTAGCATGTGGTTGCCCATTTACCCTGTCGGCTAAACGGGCACTTGAAAGATCTGCCTCAATGATATGTCTTAATGTTCCTTGGAGATGACTTTGAACGGCCTTCCTGGAAAATGCAATAAATAAATTGTGTAGTAAGATAAGTATTAGTCCCAGAGATAAGATATTCACATTATTACATAAGCAAAACACACAGGTCAGCAATAAAAAAAATAAATTCAGCATATCTAACAATAACAACATGCAAACAGAAGAAAACAAATATTGTTGCCAGTGTACTGCATGAGCCCACACAATTTGCAAACTGATAGTGTGATATGAAGTGCTACTATGTAATTAAGAAAGTGATCTATTTTAAAGCACTTACACGACCATTATGAGCGTTCTATGGAAGCTGAAAAAAAATCTGTTTTACCATCCATAACTCAAAATTTCGAGATATGTGTTTCAAAATTTGAGTTAAGAAGTCGAGATTTCTTTGAAAAAGCTTGAAGTTTCAAGTTACCTCTGCCAATCAGGAAGCTCGGTGAAGGTACTTAATGGTCTTGTTACCAAGAAGCAGAACGTGGAAGGCATCAGCTATCAGCGCTACCAGTGTTAAATGGTAATGGTAAATGGACTGGTTCTTATATAGCGCTTTTCTACTCTTCTGAGCACTCAAAGCGCTTTACACAACTTGTGCATTCACCCATTCACACCCATTCGCACAAGCACATTTCTCTAGGTGCTTTCTAGATAACATTCACACACATTCATACTCCGATGGATGCATCGGAAAGCAATTTGGGGTTAGTATCTTGCCCAAGGATATTTGGCATGCAGACTAGGGGAAGCCAGGAATCGAACCACCAACCTTCTGATCAGTAGATGACCTGCTCTACCACCTGAGCTACAGCCACCCCGTTACAGCTAATGGTCACGAATGAGTAAACTACTGAGTACTGCGTGGTCAGCACGGTTTCATAGATGATGAAATCCTTGTGTTACTAGGTGAATCGCATGGTGTTATTGCCTGCAAAACAGCATATTTATTATGTACATGTTTATTATACATTGCTAGCTCACTGACGCTATCACTACCTGATTTTGAGTGTGTCTGTGTCCACCCGTCTGTTTCCAGGTAACAAGGAAATTAAGCCATTCAGAACTTCGTCATTGGCATTGGTGTGGTAACTGCACCGTATCAGATTGCAATGCCCTACAACGGATAGTGAGAGCAGCTGAGATAATCATTGGAGCCTCTCTTCCCTCCATCACGGACACTGGTTGTGACACCTTCATACATGTCACAACCAAGCACTTATCTGCAGTTTCTCACACACACGCACACCTTCAGACACCAAGTTACTTTTTGCACAATACTCAGTTTTGTGCATATTTCCATTGCACTGTCTTGTGCCTGTATCGTCCTGGTCTGTCTAGTGTTGCACTGTTTTGTCTTGTGTATTTTTACACATTGCACCTTACGTAGTCCTGTGTTTGTCTGTTATATGACATATGTAGCACCAGTACTGTACCACTGTACATGTTTGAAGTGACAATAAAAGCCACTTGACTTGACTGGCAGCATTAACTCGAAGCACGCAGGACCAGGCGTTGCGTCGACCTCTGGCTGGGGCGTGGCAGGA